CCATGTGTTCTGTATTATGATCCTGCACGCGAGGCCAAACGTAACGCATTCGTTAGTGCTGGTACTGGATGCAAACGTACTGCTGAGCTACAAACGGCACACAGCGCGAGCCGCGTCAGTGGCGAACTTACATAACGACGGCGCTCCGACGAGCTAATGAAAAGCAAGGGAAGAAAAAGGATACCCTTATTCCGGTCCGCAGACAATGCCAGCAGTTACATCAATAAATAAAACGTTTATGCTGCTCAGGGCGTGGCACGCCAGCAAAGGCATCCTCATTGTAATAAAAACTTGTGATCTGCAAGTGAATAAATTATTTCAAGTTAATCAGTAGCATAGCAGTTTATGTGTGTATACTGACACATAGAAGTATGTGTAAGTGTGCATGTGCAAGTATCCCTATGTGTAAGTTTGTAAATATGACGCTGAAGTTAAAATTGTGCTCGCAGGTTTCGCCATCAAGGCGATGGAGTAAAGAAACTTCCCATTGGAGGACGTTCATGATGTAGGGATGGCCCTACGGAATGGGAAGTGCCTGTGACTATATTTATTGACGAGTCATATCTGCTATGTCTTAGTGTTGTTAAACGGAGAGCTGTGACTTTTATAGGGGAACGCCTTTCTGGCGTCATCCTACCACGGCCTGGAACACAGTCGCGAATGAATTTGCTGGAAGGCGATTAAATCGAACTAACTTGTTGGCACCACATGGGGCTTGTTTGGCTAGCCAGGTCAAGTGTGTATACAAATCACCGTTAATTGGTCGAACAGCGCGCAACGAACCTACAACAGTCGGAAGCAAGGGTCTCCCATAAAAGGACAAAAGTAAAAGTAGTCAAACTAAACAGCCAATGGGTAGGAATTTTAACCGCTCATTTCGGATGTACCGCCGTGAGACTTCCTTTTGAGTGTTACCTTCCACTGTGATCTTCTGGGCGTAGGAAAGTGAATAAAGATCGTTTTTGGGGAATCATTTAGTGAATACTTGGACTTCATCTTCCATGGCGTCCAAATGCTTGTCCTGTAAGAAAGGTATCATCACTCGTTCCATAGCAGTGCAGTGCTCGGACTGTGATGGGTGGATGCACGTTGCCTGCTGCGGCACCTGTCCTGATCAGTATGTGCTCTTGCAGCGATTCACCTCGTCAGCTATTAACTTCCTTTGCGACAACTTCCGTGCTTCACTAAATGGCAGGCTTCTTCTCGCCGGACTATCTGCTAAGCGATAATTTAGATTCTGTTTCTTTTTTAACCACTTGCGCACCGTTATATATCAACTTTTCCATTTTTATACAACCTTGCAAGTAAACATGGTGCAGTACAGTTTTTAGCTATTTGGAGTTCCTGACCTCATCATAAATACCTTTCGCGACAAGTTACCCCGATAAAACCCACACATTTAGAGAACTCAGAAACCGGTTGTCATGAGGTAATATTCCTACGGTCCGGCGTTCTGAGCTCATCCGCGTCCAAGAAGTGCGGCAAGCTGCAAGGCAAAATCAATACCTCATTGACGGCTGGACACTCGAGCCGCCTAGTAAGAGACCGATGTAATGAAAGCAGCTAAGGAAGCACGGAAGAGGGAAGGAAGAGTGCCGGAGAGGAATATGAGGGTTATGATAACAAGAAGCAAAACCTATCGACCTCTTACCTGTTAACGCGTTACCGTGACGCCCACGGACTGGCTACCCTGATGAACAACTGCTCGTATTCAAAATCGCGCCATTGGAGTACTCGATGGTCCCACTTTCGTTGGCGCAATCAGACATCCCAAACTCGGCTGTTAGCGAGCTCATTGGCAGAAGTGATCAATGTGGTGTTTCTTTTCAGTGGACTCGTTGCTTCGCTGTCCACAGCTAATGTGCCGGCCGTCGGGATTTCTGGCGTTTAGAAGCACTTCGTTTAAAAACGGCTGCAAGTGTTGTGGATTGGAGTGCCCCTGGGTATCTCAGTCTTGATTATGCGTGGAATCTTTTGTACTCCAAGTTGATGTTACTCATCGAACAGATCGTCTCTGTCTCCAAGAGAAGACCGTTTTCTAAAGGCCCACCTTGGATAGACCGCCAATTAAGTTCCCTTATGAACAAAAGGCGTAAACTGTGGTACGGTTTTAAGCTAACACGATCAGACCTCGAGTATTCTCACTAGAAAACAAGCAGGAATGTTTGTACTTTTCAGAAACGGGTGTAACGTCAACCATACTAACTGTCTTTAGTTGCTCTTTCCAAGGCCACAGCCAAAGTGCTTTTCTCGTACCTCAAGCGAAGTGCCAGAGCCGACAGTGGCATCCCTGCCTTATGTTCCCATGCGCATGCCGCTTTAGATGACGAAGACAAACAAAAAGCCAGTTTTAGTTAAGCAATATTCCTCTGTGTATTCAACAGGGAGGTTCCTCCTGACACCTTCTTGTCAGTTCTTCCTTCTTTGCAAAAGCACTTGGATATTAACGCTGATGTTGTACTGAAACTGTTTCTTAATTTAAACCCGTACTCTTTGCCTGGCCTGGATGGCCTACATCCATTGTTCCTTAAAACTGTAGCACAGCACATTACCGCACCTAGCTGTCAGATATTCCGTCTGTCTTTTGATACTGGATGTCTTTCGGCTGCCTGGAAAGCAGGCGTCATCAAGCCTATTCAAAAAGAAGGAAACCAATGAGAGCCAATGAGAGCGAAGTGCCGCCCTATTTGCTTGCCAGCTGTAGTCTGCAAAATTATGGAACTGACAATAAAACGCGCGATATGCCTCCATCTCGAAAACATAAATTTCATCTCTGCTGCCCAGCATGGATTTCGAAGCGCTCGCTCATGCATCACAAAATCGCTTGTGACAAGGGAGAAATGGGTGAAATCACTAGACGTTGGCAAACGATTGGATGTTGTGTTTGTTGATTTTAGCAAGACCTTTGACAAGGTTCCGCCTGAGCGGCTTCTTTACAAACTCCGCGAAATTGGCGTTGCTAGAAATTTTCTCTCCTGGATCTCCAATTGCCTGTACAATCGCACTGCGCAGGTAATAGTGAATGATACGCTTTCTGAACCTTTTCCTATGACGGGTAGTGTCCCACTGGGTTCTGTCCTTGGTCCTGTCCTCTTCACTGTCTTTATTAGCAACCTTCCGTCCGAGCTGCGAACGGAATGTTTGATTTATGCCAATGACTTGCAGATTGGATTGAGGTATCCAGTTTTGAGGATGCAGATAGGCTCCAAGAAATACTGGACAGGCTCCACGATTGGTCGGTAAAATGGCAGTTACCAAACAACCGGGATAAATGTTCTGTACTCCCAGTTACTGCTCGTGAGCCATTCGGGGTGTACCATATTGGACGTTTACTGCTAAGTAATGTCACCCAGGAAAGGGACCTCGGAGTACTTGTGTCTCTTTATCTCAAAACAACTGAGAACACCTGGAAAAGGGTCGCCGCTGCTTACAGGTTGTTTCATGCCTTACGAAGAGCATTCTCCCGTCTTACTCCAGACCTCTTCAGACTCCAGTTTGCCTCACCTGTGCGCCCGATTCTCGAGTACGGCTTGCCAGCTACCCAGCCCCTCACGAAGACCGAATGCGATATGATTGGGAAGGTCCAAAGCCTTGGAACTAAATGTGTGTCTGAGCTGCGGCGCCTATCTTATCCTCTCCGCCTCCATTGATCAAACCTTTTCTCTGGATTACCAGCGTCTTCGCGGCGACTTGATCTACACTCGACGGATTCTAAGAGGAGAGCTAGGAAACGAGTAACAACAATTCTTTCATCTTAACATTGAAAGTTCCACACGTGTTTACGCATGGAAATTGTTCATATCGAGGAGACTCCATGTGCGGTCAGATATAGCTCTATCCACTCAGTGGTTAATGAATGGAATCGCCTTCCGGAGCTCATCGTTGATGCGCAGTCCGAGGAAAGTTTTAAGAAAATCTTGTATTCGCACTTGATAAGTGTGCCCGGATATTGCTTCACAACATAGCCTTAAGGTTCATTGTGGAACCCTATTTTCCATATGCCCCAGCAATGTCTGCAATGACTGGGAAGCGACGGAGCTGATAAAGGACTCGCTTTCGGCTCTTTAACATACAATGATACAATGATTTTGTTTCAGCAGTGAGTTAGGACCGTCGAAAATGCCTACCATGCTGGACAGGTGTTCTGCCACCTGTAGCAACCCAACTGAGCGAAAATTCGAGAAATTAGTTTGAAATCGTGATACGCCTCTATGGTAACTCACAACAACTTTAAAAGTGGACTTTGTAATCGTTGCCTTGAATTTGCTTTAATAAACGAATAGCGCGGGATCGGAGTCTACTGGTCTATCCGCCGATACAGAGCAAGTTGGCATGGCTAGTACGCAGGGCTGGCTTTCAAAATTAAATTAACGTTGCTCTACACTTGCATCTCCTCAGTAGGTCTGCTCCACATTATCCCGCAGGCATACATCTACACACCTCACGCCCAACAGAAATTGTTATCCATTATTTATTGTGATGTGTGTTTGGCATATATATTCCATCATTTAAAGCAACTTTAAGCTGCTAGTATCCGATACTTCAAGGTATGGCTTGTGGGCCGTATCGACCGACATTATTTGTGGAGCTACAATTAATTTTCCCCACTCTTTTAATCAAGCTTGACATGGTTGGCGGCTTATTATCGCTGACTAAACATTTAGCTTCATATTTGTCTTGGCTGACGGTTATGTATTATCGTTTGCCGAAATTCCCACTTCTCGACATAAGCAAAATCAAATGCATATATTGCTTTACAAATCTAGTACACACGACGTCAACGTCTCGTGTTATTAAAACGTACCCAAGCGTATAAAATGAGAACCAGGACGTCAGACATTCTGATAAACAAACGGCTGGGTTTATAAACGCGCCGTAGGCGAGCATGCGGTTCATAGTTTGTTTTGAAATTAGCGCCGTGGCAGTGTTAATGAAAACTTTACGCTAGAACAGGCAGATACGCCAGCGACATATAAAAAGTTTAAATGCCTAAAAACGGTAACATTTCAAAAATATTGTTCCCGCATCGGTTTGTTTTAATAGGTGTAAGGTGTTAGTGTGCTCTGTGTATCGTGCGGTGCTGCAGTAACTAATAAGCCGGTGGGTTTTCGACAGTTTTAGCCTATGTTGTAAACGTCGTTTTCTCTTTGCTAATCGATTTTGTCCTCGGTGTTTATTCGCCAACCGTCGAGCGCTATCACGCCTGCGCTCTACCAATTAATGAAAAATCCATCTAGTCCCATTGCGCTCGCTCGTCTATCGGCAACTATAACTGCACCGCCCAGCTAGCCACGTGACGCAACACACCGTTCATCCAGCTCCGACACTTATTAGGTGGTTTTCCAACCGCCTACTCAACACAGAGTTCGACACGAGGCCACCGCATGAAACTGTTCAAACCGAGGAATCTCCGTGTGTGGCTCAATTTGGCCTTATCAACCCGCGTGGTGAGAGATTGGAACACGTTCCTGGATCCAGTTGTTGATGCTTAGACAGATGAACGTTTCAAACAACTGTTAGAATCTCACCTGAGCGCGCTGGGATTCTGCTGCCTCTAAGGCAGCTACAGTGGTCCTCTGCGGAACCTTCTGCCGCAATGAACCACGCCATCTCCGCAATGATCGGGAAGTGAAGGAGCTGACAAAGGATCTTCCTTCTGCTCTCTATCATCTAGTGATCTTTGCCTTTCAGCCCTCGGTCCAATACGACCCACATACACCCCGGACATAGAAGCCCTTGGCACCCTCGACCGGACGCATATTACACTGAGGTTTTAGGTACGTCGTTCATATTCTCTCGTTCCCCGATATTTTTTAGATGGTCAACTTTAAGAAGCTTGTTGAGGCTGGCAGAGTTGCTTACATAGCATCAGGTCCCGACGCCAAGAAAGTGGCATTGATTGTGGAAATAATTGACCAGAACCGTGTGTTAATCGATGGTCCGTGCAGTGGCGTTGCCAGACAGGCAATCAGCTTGAAAAGGTTGCACCTCACGAAGCTAAGTGTTCAGCTGCCGCACGGCTGTGGGACCGCTTCTGTAAGAAAAGTTTGGGAGAAGAACCGTCTTACTGAAAAATGGGAGAGTACTGTGTGGGCTAAGAAATTGCTACGAAAGTCACTGAGAGCCAAAATGAGCGACTTCGACCGGTTCAAGCTGATGGTCGCTCGTCAGCAGGTAGGTACCTGCATAGTGTGTGTAGTGTTTTATGATGACTTGAACTGGGGAGAGCCGTCTGCTCTTAATGATGATCATCCGGTTCCTGACGTTCTATACAACCTCGCTAAAAACTCTATTTCCATTTCAGCGGAATCGCATCTTACAATCGTTCCGAATCAAAAATCCCAAAGACGTCCCGGCTAATTCTGGTATTAAGTCCGCAAAAACAAAGCTCGTCAAATAAACATATTCGCCTTAATCCTCTCTTATTCGTTTCTTCCTAACTGGTCGTTCACATTGGATCTAGTTCTGTCGGTTTTGGGGTCAAATGCTTTGTCTATCGGCGCGTGTGATTCATCCCACACAAGTGCCGTCCGACGGCCTTCATTTTTCAAGTCATTTGAAACGAGACTTTTAGGATCATCTCGTCCATTGTGTTTTGGGGTGCCCTGCAGAACCACCAGCTTCAGCGTGCTTAACTTGGTCAATCCCTGCGTTTCATCAGTACTACTGGAATCCGTCGTAATAGAAGCGCAAATTGTCCTTAACCTGCTTCTGGATATTTCCGCAATTTCATAACTGCCCTAATTCATTGGGTGGTAGAGAGCAGGAGGGAGGTATCTTGTCAGTTCCATTGCTTCCCGATCAAGGCTGTGATGCTCATCATTGCGCAACGGGAACTCCGGAGAGGCCGTATTACTCGTAGCTGAAGTAACGCGATACCGGCATGTTCAACAGGTGGGATTCAAGTAGATGTTTGAAACAATCCTCCGTCTGAGCATCAGCGACGTGCGGTAGTAAATGGTTCCAGACTGGACCGTACTTTGGTTCTCGGTGGCATCTATTCGAACTCCCAACGTTAAAGTGGAAGAATTCCTGCAACTGTCTCCCTGAAGATACACCAGGTTCAAGTCAACTTCCGGCGTCGGTAATCCATAGAAAACAGTTGCAGGAATCCTTCCACCTTAACATCGGGAGTTCAACTGGAGACCACCAATGAAAAATATTCAAACCACGGAGGCTCAAAGTACGGCCCCTTCTTGCTGTCCACTCGCGTCGTGAATAATTGGAACCGGTTACCGCCGCCCGTCGTTGATGCACAGACGGAGGATTGCTTCGAACGACTACTTACTCACACCTGTTGAATATGCCGGGATCGTGTTGCTTCAGCTACGAGTGCGATGGCCTCTCTGAAGTTTCCGTTGCGCAATGACGAGCATCCCAGCAATGATCGGGAAGCGACGGAGCTGACAAGGGATCTCCCCTTCTGCTCTCTATCACCCAATGAACCAAAAAATGTGGAAGGCTAAGGGGATAAGGCAGGTC